GCAAGTTACACTAGTATTTTTGACTTTGAGCATACTTGGTAGACTAAGCTTTCCCATTAAATAGGACAACTCTGCTACTGAGGCATCCCAGCCATAGTAATTTCAAAAGATTTAAGAGTTTTCCTTGTTTGTTCACCTGGAACACACTGCTGTCTCAGGGATTTAGCAAAGCATTTCAACACAGTGGTTAAGAGAGGTCTCAGAGGTGAGGCTTCCCATATTTGGGAATTCTTGGCATTCTTGCACTTTGCAGCAACAGGAGGAAGACTTAATCACTCACTGTACCCTGTCACTGTTGAAGAAAAAAACCTATCAAGTTAGTATTAAAAAATAATTCATTTTAAATGCATTTTATCTCCTTGGATGTTTGAAGTGTTATGAAAACAAATTTAAGATTTATCTTGCTCTTTCATATGGAGATTTGGAGAGTAAAGCACGTATCAGTTAAAAGCTTCTGAAGCTGTATACATAGAAATGAAATAATGATTGACATGTTTGTTTACAATGGAAGCAAAGTAAATTGAATACATTCAATTTCCAATTTACTAACTGAACACATTACTGAAGATATTTGTGGTATTTCACAAGTCCCCATTACCATCATAATCATCACAGCTACTATGACCAGAAAAGGGAAGTTTAAAGGAACTAAACGGCTCCAGTTTTCTACAATCACATGACATGACATCTGTTTTGGTAAAAGGTTGAAGATGCCAGACTACTCTATATCTATAATTTAGATTTAGAGTATAAACCAGGTTTTGGGCAAACTCTTAAGGTGAGAGAGAGCTTCAATTCATATAAAGAATGACACAGGGACCGGGAGGTACTGAAGCTTTTAAGACTGTGGGTCTCCATATCAGGTATGATAAATTCTAAGAGTGGATACAGTTTGATACAAAATACCCATATATCTTCCTTCAAGTTGCCAAAGTAATAATTGTTTCTTCTGTTTCTAGCCAAGCTACAACATGCTTCAGGAGGCGTCAATTACTTTGGTCTTCTACCCTTCTAATTTTACCACATAGGGGAAGTTACCAAAATTTAAATAAGTGCAAATATCTTAATAAAGGAGTGGAGAAATACTTAAGGACACATTTAGGTGTGTGCTTTCTGGACTAAGAACTGCTAGGGAAAGCTCAAGCTGTGAAGCACTATCTAGCTGCAGGTTTTAGAGGCCGGAGAAAAGCACAAAAGGAAACAATACACACCTGGGCCATTCTCAGCCATCCCCATGCTGAGACACAGCAGCAGAACACAGCACAGAAGCCTGCCTCACCTGGCAGAATTCTGAATTTCCTGTGGTTTACATGCAGAAACATACTTCAGGTGTTCTGAGTATTTTTAGACATGATTGGACTCAAATTTTCAGAACCAGTCAATGACTCTAAATTGACCATTTAGATGGCCACTGTTACAGGTGTGCATTACAACAGTCTGATTGTTGTGAATTCAGTCTCATTAGGCCCTCTCTCCACCTCACAGGAGTCCCTTGACGCTGTTTCTTTATCTGAAAGAGCTTTAATGTGGCCAAAGGCTTATATCAAAATGTTAAGAGAGTAAGTCCAAATAAGACCATTAGGCTGGTTCCAGAATGTAGTTATTCATTTCAGTAACATCTTCCTAGTCCAGAACTCAATGTATAAATAGCACCTGAATTTGAATACATGGCTGTTCCTTTCCCAAACTGAAGCTTGAAATATGGGGTTCACCTCCTACAGATTTACTGTAAGGACTGACTGCAGCAGAAGGAAAGGATGAACAAAAATAGTACTTCATCCAACCACTCACACCATTTATGGTGCTCCCGCCCACAAGACTCACAGCATTCTGAAGACACAGCATGAGATCATTTGTGATCTGATCCCTGCATCTACTTTGTGTCCCTGCTTATCAAAGTCACTGTACAATAGCTGTTCATATTGCTTGGAGAGCAACATTTGATAGTTACCACCCTGAATTCCTCCTTCATAGATAATGACGCATCATATCAGGAATCTTTTGCAAAGTAACCCATTCCTGGCAGGTGATATCCTACAATATAAAATTAGGAGTCACCCTGGCAGCCTCCAAGCAGCACACATTGCAGATTTCTCAGTCATTTACTTTTGTCTGTCCGATAGTGCCAAAAGGCAGGTCAAGCAGAACACAGTCAGGAGGTTCTGTCAGGTTGAGCTATGGAGGAAAAAAGATTCTTCCTTAGAGGGAAGCAAGCCACCTCCAAAGCTTACCACACAGGTTCACAGCTGATGGAAGGTGCACACCTGCAGTCTATTACTCAAATGGATAGTAGCTTTGTTTCTTTTAAAAACATGCATATTCCTTCTAGAAAGGAACTGCACTTGAAGACAAAATTGCAAAACAGTACTAGTAGCACAAACACTATACTGTGAAGGTGGTACAATTTTGGATCAACCAACTGACTTTGCACTGAAACCCAGGAACACTCAAAGAGTCCCTTTTCCACAGGTTAGCCAGAAAGCAGCTGTGCAGCTCAGAAGGACAATGCCCAACACTCCCAGGTATATGCATTTCATCCTACGTGTTGGAAGCCAGCCTTGCAAGAGATTTTTGAAAACCTAACACAGACCAACATCAACAAAATGAGGCTTGAGTCTCTGATGCACCAAAACTGACACTGCTCTAGGATATTCCCAGCTCTGTCCACGCCATGGTGCCACTGTGCTGGCAGGGCTGAGCAGTTCAGTAGAAAACACTTTGCCCCATCATATGATATTTTTATTTCTCAATTCCTTACTCATTAGTTGTTAGTAATTATAAGACTACTTCTGCCTCTCCAAATGTGATAATTCAACATCTCACTTCATTAATAAAATACCTTTTTACCAAGCAGTAAGAAAAATGAATTGAACATCACTTTAGAGCTTGAAGTGGGAGAAGGCAGCATTGAGCTGCAAGAAAGTACAGGAAGCAGATTAGCCACAAAAAGGCAGGAAAGACACAGAAGGCAAGACTCACTGAGGCTCTCATATTACAAGAAGTCCAGTTATTAACAGGTACACAGCACTGCTCTGGTGTCTGCTTCCAACTGTGCCCATCCTGGTGTAAAACACCGAGCACACAGAAGTTTCCCTGCACTCCAACACTTCTTCCACCCCTCCCAAATGAGAGGATGACTCATGGCTTATATTGTTTACTCCGTGTGTCTTTAGCAACTAAGGCAGCAGTTCCTGCTCTCAGTTACATCCAGGTATGTCTAGGTTATGCCTATCTGTTTCATGGGTATCCCTTTCAGTTTATCCTGAAGCAACTGCGAATAATCTGACACCTACTCAGACATGCACTATAAATGAAGATCACTGATTTTGAGAAAGAACTTGGAACTTAAATTCTAAGTCGCTCAAATATTCAGCAGCACACCAGGGCTTTCAGTGAATTATGTGGTAAGACCACCTTTGTTAAACACCAGAAAATTAGCTGGCCACCTGTTTTGCTGTTGTTCAATATAAGTAAAACCCCCAAACTGTTACAGTCAAACTGGTACAACAGGTTTACAACATTGTGTGTATAAATGTGTGACTGGAGTTCATAGCTAGCATGCTCTGAACACTGACAACTCTCATGGATAACCAAAAAGGCCAACCTGTCCCTCCTTTAATGACAAAAACCTAAGAACCCAAAAGGTGCCTATTGTAAAGGTGATTTTGACCAGCAGCAACACTGAAGTCAAAGTGTGCTTTCATTTATACTCTTGAATAAACACCATTCAACTCAAGAGGCCTGTTGGATACTTTTCTCTTAAGTATAGGAGACAGAGAATTAAATATAACAGAAGGAGGCAAAACAGAAACGAAATAACCAGACCACAGGGAAAAACTGTCACACAATCCGCAAAAGGTCACTGAATTATTGACCCAAACCACCTTTTAACAATGGAGTTGAAATTTAAGTTCCTTTTCCTGCACCTCCTTCAGAAAGTATGCAACAGCTAGTACAGGCACAGCAGTGGAATGCCATGGAAACATTCTTTAAACTGAAACAAGCAGAATTGTTACAATAGTAGCTTCCCCCACACTTCTCACGTGTACCTGCTCATCCTAAATAAACCCACGTGTGTTTTGTCAGCACAGACTTGCCTTACTACACAAACACTTGCGCCCACAGAATTGTGTATTAAATGATTTTATGTGCTGATCCCTGGGGATTACTGAAAATAATTAGGAAAGAGAACTTTCTTTTCCAGGTAACAGGTCAAGCCTGCTAGTGTAAGTCAGCATCACACTGGAATGCTTGGTGACTTAAGTTTTACTGACTTCTGAGGTCACAACATTGATACAAGGGCCAAAGGAATGTTATAGTCCAACCGATCACTGCAGAAGCCACACCACGAAGAACTTCAGCACTGCCAGTTTCATGGTTTGATGGCCGCTGTTAAAAGTGTGCATTTTCTAATAAAGGACCTCGATATCTGACAACAGTCCACGTCAAGAAGAATAACTTCCACGTCTATGTGTCTAGCTTCAAAACCTAGTTCTGAAATTGCAACCTACAGCTATGCAGGTTTCCACTACCTGCTGCCCAAAGCAAACCCTAACTTGCTCCGATCGAGATTATGCATGGGTGGAGTGGCGGACAAAAGCTGTAAACTACCATCCTTTATCGCGCCGGAAGAGGAATGTGCTACCGAATATCACTCAACAAGAAATCAAAGGATGTCAAAAGTCCACACATGATGAGTAAACCCACTTGGCAGAGGAGCCGCCGACAGCTGTACGCGCTCGGGACCCTTCGCCTACAGCCCGGGGCGTGCCTGTAGAACACGGTCCCTGGCGCTGGAACTGCGGCCCGGGGAAGGAAAACGCCAGGCCCGAGGCCGCCTCCACCAAGGAGCGGCCCCGGCCGGCGGACGCGGCTCCCGGGCGCGCTGCAGCCCCGGCCGGGCCGCGCCCCGTCCCCCGGGCAGAGCCGGAGCTGCGGGCGGCGCCGCCTCTCCTCCCTCCCTGCCCAGGGCTCGGCAGCGGCCGCGGGCCCGCGCTTACCTCCTCCGCCTCCTTCCCCAGAGGGATGCCCATGGCCCGGAGGCCCGTCTGGAGCTCGGCAATGTCCACCCTCCCGTCTTCGTTGAGGTCCAGCTTTCGGAAGAGGTTGGCGTAGCGGGACTCGCCATCCCTGTTCCCGTCGCAGGCGGCCGCCGGCAGCAGGAAGCCTCGCAGGAGCTGGAACATGTCGGGGCCGTGCAGCGCGTACAGACGGACAGCGTCCCTCGACTCCCGCCGGCTGGGCGCGGACGAGACACGGCCCGCGATGCTGCCAGCGCTCGCAGCTGCCAGGGGAGGGGAGAGCAGCGAAGGGCCGGCCCAAGCCCGCCCGGCGGCGAGGGGCGGAGAGAGGGCGGGCGCGGCGGGGCTCGCTCCGCCCGCCCGCCCTCAGCCCCGCCGCCGGGCGCGGAACGTGCGCTGAGGAGCGGGGGCGGCCCGCAGCCCCTCGGGCTCCTCACAGCGCTCCCGCCCGCGCTTACGCGCTTCTAGCAGCCCAACGCTTCCAGCTCAGTCAGAGAAATCCCACAAACACTGCAGAATACCTAGTTTGGATACTTAGGCTCATCCTAGTTTAGCGGTGGAGAGCTCAGCTGAAAGGGTATGAAGAGCATCCCAGCCTAAGTGCAGTCTGAAAGAGCTGGGCTACTTGGCCTAACAGAATAAACACCAGAAGAAGAAACGTCTAGAGTTTTTTTCTTCATAATGGCTTCATAAATAAATTAGAGGAGTTAATGGAAAAGTGCACAGGTGGTCTAAGAGTAAATGGATAGAAAATGTCACCAAACAGTCTCTCTTTCCACAAGAGAGTTGCAGTGAAAAGAAATTTCAGCTGCCACTGAATTGAGCCTTGCTTTCCTGGTGCATATTCAGCCAATACACGGCCATGGAAAATGCATTTCAGCATTACAGCAGAAACTCTGTAACCTTGCTCACAGAGTAATTAATAAAGCTCATGTGCTACAGTGTCTGACCATGAACTAGTGCTTGAAAAAGGGCTACTGCTACTAGGACTTGCATATATAGACTCCTGGATTGTGTTATAGGTTCCTTGTGTTGCCGAGTAAGTAGTGTGGGAAGGGACCTCCTGCTCAAAATGGGCTCATCCATGAACTCCGACCAGATTATTCAGGTCTGTATTTCAGTCTTAAAGACCTCCAAGGAGGGAAGCTGGACAATCTCTCCAGGCAGCCAGGCCTAGAGCCTGACTGTCCTCACAGGGAGGAAGATCTTCCCTTCTAAACACTGAGCTGTTCTCATTTCCCCTTCTGTCTGCTGTCTTTTATTATCCCACTGTACCCCTTACAAGAATCCTGATCCTACTTCCTTTGCACACTCTCTGTAAGTACCAGCAAGGTGAAAGCCTCCTTTTAAGTTGCCTCAAAGCCTTATTTTCTCCTGTTAATACAGCCCAGGATGCTGCTGGCCCATGCTCAGATTGCTCTCTACCAAAATCCCCATGTCCTCTCAGCACAGCTGCTCCCTGTGGTTGCAAGGGACCATTCCTTCCTATATGCAATACTTCATGTTTGTCCTCATTGTATTTCATAAAGTCCCTGTCACCCCATTCCTCCAGCTTCTCTGCAGGGCAAGCACACCAGGGGGGTTCTCCACAGTTTCTGGGAAATACTGGATAACATTGAAATAGGCAGAGCCTGAATATACTTCACCCCTATCTGGAATAAGGAAAGGTCACTGCATCCCACCTATGTAATACTGCTAAGTAGTACAGCCTGTGATTCTATTTTCCCCTCATACCATCATCCTTACATCCTCATCTAATGAAGTAACATACGCAAGTAATATCTGAACTCATTACTGAATACAATACCTAGATAGATTACATCCACAGGAATGAAAAACAGTGCTACCCTAAGCTCTCATTGCCTACCAGTAGGTTCCTAATAATATCCAGCATTGTCACTGTCTGAGGTCTAAATGCTCCACCTATTTTCTTATGTACCATACTAAGTGCTGTATGTGTATTATTAATACCATACATGAATTAGAACCACTCAAAAAGTGACATCAACACTCCATCATTAAAACATGTGAAAAGTTAGTGCCAATAGTCCAAAATCCAAGGTAATTGATGAAGAGATGCTGTTGACATCTTATTGCAAAACTTCCATACCTTCTACAGTGATTTCTCACACGCAGCTCCTTGCAGCACTGACTCCTTCTTCACAGCATGGCTAACAAACTCCAACTCTCCTCACAGCACAACCAAGTCTTTTGTAGCATTCATCTTCTTATTGGACACAGCTGTGGCCTGTTAAGGGCAGGCCTGTTCCTAATCTTTGGTGATTAATGCAGCTGCAACTCCTCAGGTATGAGACTGCTTTCTGCATTATCTTTATTTTCTTACATTCTGTCCCTCCACAAGATGCATTTGTTCTTCCTGAAGAAGAAAAAAAAAGCTACTTGTGGCAGACTTGGCCTTCATAAATGCATCCTGCATTGGTATAATTTATATGGTGTGCCTACACAACACTGTTCAGAGTTGTGTAGGAAGAAAGAGGAGGCCACAGAAAAAAGGCAGATAATAGCTTGCTGGTTTGACAACGAACATGTGCAAATAGATCCTGCTTTGAATTTTATGCAGAGCAGAAGCTGGAAGTACCAGCTGTGTATCATTGATCCAACTGTATATCCATGATGAGACACAGCAGTGAAATTCATTATTCAGGTTTGCACTGGTCTCCCTAAAACTGGAGTAAGTAGCACAGAGCTGTGCAGAAGGCATAAATGCTTTGCCTTCAGTAAGACTAGCTGACAATGGTGGGGAGGTGAGAGCCTCAGGTATTTCACACATGTTGACAGATAAACCATTAGGCACACTCCTGAGAAAGCCATTGCTCTTTGGAAGATACAGACACTCCTTAGGTGTAGTGAACCTCCTACAGGGACTGAGGAGTCTACTGAGACAGTGACCACAAACACAAATCCACAGATCTGCCTCATTTATATCAACAGGAAAATTAGTCTTCCCTATTATTTGGAAACTAGGTCTACCACACCTATAATTTCTTTACAAATGACCTTGTTTGGCATGTTGTGGAGCTGTTTCATTTACAAAGTCCCTGGTTGCTAAAAATGAGTCTTGAATAGTCCATGACTTTGCACACTGATTTTTACCTTGCTTGAAGGAACTGCAAAGGACCTGCAAAGAACAAGATCTGAGTCAAGAAATACTTTTGCCCAAGACATCTTATTTTAAATGTTAGAGTGGGGGGCTTCTGGTTTTGTTGGCTTGTGGGTTTGTTTTTTTTTTTTTTAATTTTATTACATTTATATTTATTTTAGAATTATAAGGCTTTTTGATATCAAAACTGATTAGTATCAGAAGAGCAAAAACATAGCCAAAAAAAAGCATTTAACTTACCAGAAAAAACTTTTAATTAGTGTTATATCAATACATATACAATAAATATTTAAATGGCATCAATACAATCCACTTAGATGAAGTGCTATAAATATCAAGAAACCTCAGAGACTGGAAGCAGACTTGATATATATTATTAATATACTAAAAGACAACTCAGCTGAATTGCATTATTAGGTGTCTACTTTAGATACTGTAGCTCTTTTTCCATGAGGAAGGAAGCTCTTCATAATAATCCTAAGATTCTGAAAATCATCTACTGCATGAGCCAGAAATAATTTCTGGCATAACTCCAAGAACTGCAAGGAAGTTGAGTAATATTTAAATTATGAGATCAAATCCAGCTCTGCTACACATTTAAAATGGTCTGTTAAATACATCCAAAGTTTTGTATCACCTGATGGGGAGCAGTCTTCTCTTCACACACAGGAGGATATAATTAAAGAACACAAATACAACAAATATTTAAGAGGCAACAAAGTCCAGTGTTTTTATTTTATTTAAGGTAAAATGAATATTTGCTTTATTATATAGATGTAATTAGCTCAGCTTTAAACTAACATTATAAACTAATTCTTTAAAAGTATGGAATCTTATTATCGTATAATAAACTACAGCAAATTTAGATTTTTTTTCACATATTTTCCTTAACCACTTCTTGTTTAGCACACAGCATTGGACTGGTTTAGCATGAGAAAGGTACTATGTCTTAATTCAGACAGACTGGTGCTGTAATTCAGGTAAATATAATTTACAAGCAAGAAGTCATGATTTAAAATCATCAGTGGAGGTTCAGCTGGGTTCTTCCTTCTCCTGTGACACATCCCCATTTTGGAGGGCACTGAACAGCCCAGGCCCGGGGCAGTTCCCTGAGCTTTGTTCACAGCACAGCTTTAAACAGCCAAGCCACAGAAGGCAGGGATCCCTCAGAGGGCAATCCAAGGGACAGCCCTGTGGGTCTGTGCTAGACAGTGCAAACACATCTGGGGGACTGAGACTGCAGCAGCATGAGAAATGGCATTATTACAGAGTTCACCTACACACATTGCATTGAGCTCCCACCAGCCTCACTTTTTAGTTTAATTTCATTACAGGCATCCAAATGAGTCTCTCCATGACTAAGACAAAGTGCTTACAATGTGCTGCTGCAGGAAGCACTGATCTGGGCACAGGTTGGAGCCCAGACCTTACATCAGATCCATCTAAAGCCAAACCTAGAAGCATTTCAAAGCTCTTCTAATGTTACTTTCCTCAGGAAAAAGAGCCACAGGTCAGAAATCAAGTGCCCAGCAGGAAACTGGTGCCACAGAAAACATACAGATGAATACAGATCACATTAGCACAGCCTCTAACAATGATGATGCTCTGCAGGATTTAAACCTCCCAGAGACCTGTGCTTCAGCTGTCCACTGAATCACCTGTCCATAAAGAACATTGCCTATTAACTCCTGCAATTTTGTAACTGAAATTTCACATTCTTCAGGAGAGCAAACAGCTCCTGAATTATTTGTTTTATTCTACTGTAACTGGGGCATTTTGTAAAACATGTTTTTTCTTGAATACTTGAGGTTTTGTACTGGTAACATCCCACTTCTTTTGAGATTTTGGAACTTCTCCTAAACAACCTCCAGTGCTTTAATCTTACAGAAGTTTTTTATCAATGAAAACACAGAATTGTTACATTACCTACAATGCTCATCTGTTTTTTAAAAACTCTTCTGCTATTCTGAGAATCTTTTGATTAAAGATTCTAAATATATTTTAAAATCTATACTTCTGACACTTTTGACTTTGACTCTTCTGGTCAAGAAGGTTATACTGACTATAGAGAGTCTTTTCTAGTCACCTGTTCAGAACATAAATATAGCCCTAGAATAGATTGGGCTTTTTCTGATAAGAGTTGCCTTTGACTCAAACCTCCTAAAATCATCTGGCATCCCCCCTTGTATGTTTGTCAGCAGTCGGCCCTGTGGGTTGGCAGGGCACAGCAAGGGCCAGCTCTCTCCCCAGGAGCAGCAGGAGGAGTGCAAGAGCCCAGGGAGCAGGGCAGGGCTCCCAGGCAGAGCCCAGCTGGCTGGCCCTGAGCAGGGAGAGGAGGCAGCACCACACAGGGCAGCCCCAAGCCCCTCAGGCTCCAGCAGCAGCAACCAGAGCCAGACATACCTACAACACAAAGAAAGATCTGAAATCAAGCTAAGAAATCAGCCTGAGGGTCAAGGCCCTCAGCAAGGCACAGGCAACACAACTAAGACCCAACAGACCAAGAGAGGTACCCCAAGGTTCAGACAAGGACTGCTGGCTCATGGCTGAGCTTAAATGGGTCCCTGAGCAGGGGGAGGGTGAAGGCTCAGGTGAGGCTGGTCAGGGTAAATTTACATCTGCCTAAGGGCCTTGGTTATATAGGGAAGCTGCTTCCATGGGGTAATGCTCCAGGTACCCATAGTCTCTCATAATTTATGTGGGTTACCACTCTACTACTTTGATTAAGTGAGGTAATCCAGTTTTTCTTGAAAATATTGATTAATAACTGGATCAATTTGATTTATTGAACTTTAACAGACAAATTATCTGGTATGTAATCCTCTTTTTCTTTCTGCATCTTAATGCAATGGACCTTCTAGCTAAATAGGGTAATGTCTTTCATAAATAATTTTTTAAAAAAACTTTAGAGTTGGGTCTTTTCCTGAAAAGAAAGGTGGCTTTTGATTTAACTTGATACCAACTAGGTGCTAGTTTAGTCCCTTTAGGTGCTGAAAGCTTTTCACCTTCCATTTTTTTGAACAGAGAGCTGATGAGTGCAGTACCCAGAGAATTGCTTTGTATGATACACTGTAGGTGCTTGTGGTCTGTTAAACACAAAAGACTTTGAGGATTACTTTAGGGCATACCAAAGAAATGTTCTCAAAGGGGAAGCCATAGGTCAAGGCCAAATGCCTAGATCTCTTCTCTAAGATATCTCTTTATTAATTTTACTCCAGTAAAAAGACTTCTCTCAGAGCTAGTTATTTCTTGACATTTAGGAGTTTTGTAGGGAATTCTTTGTTAGGAACGCAAAACTGACAATGGTGTCAGAACTACCCTTGCAGTTTATTTTTTACTAGAAAATTGTATATAAATTCATTTTCTATATCTTTTAGGGCAGGAAAAAACAGGAGCATTTATTTTCCAGACACTCTATTTATTATGTTTGATTGTGTTTTTTTGCTTTTACTCCTTACTGCTACTTTTTTTTTTTTTCTTTTCCCTAGGATTATGCTACAGGACAGCTGGGGACATTCTGACATACTTAGCTGCATATTATTTGTGCTACCTGGATTCATCAGGTATGTATTCTATGAAAAATATCATGTATGTATTCTATGAAAAATATATTTCTATGTATTTATACTGAATGAGGGGCAGCACTACTTCCACGACCTGCAAGAAGATTACGGGGTAGATCACACTGCATATACGTATGTACGTAGCCTTACAAGTTCTTTTTCTTACCATGTGATTAAGTGCTTGGCTGTGGGAAGACATGCTGTGTGCTCCTTACGCAACGCTGTAAAGAGGAAACTGGTCTGCTGAGGGAGGCTACTTGGAGCTTGCTTTATGTTCAGATCTCCTGGAATGGTTTTTTAAGACAAAGCTGTTCCCTAGAGAGCATATGCTGGTGTTGGACTATACATTAAACAAGAGAGTCGCGTGTGTGTTGCCGTAATCATCTACTCCAAGGATTGTTCTTAAATGTAAACACAGCTGTGTATGCTCTCTTTCTCTACAAGACCGTGAGCATCTGTTGCTTGTAGCAGAAGCGGCGCTGGCTGTAAATTACAGGTTGAACGGCTGTACGCGACCCGTAGGGTTTAAATTATAGCAGACGGAAACTCAATTCAGAGTTGAAACGTCGAGGCCTGAACGACGCTTTGTTACGTTACCGCTGTGTAAATGCCGAGCGGTGAGCAGCACGGCAGGTTCCGCTCCTGGGACGCGCCCCTCGCCAGGGGTCCCCGGCAGGCGGGGGAGCTGCGGGGCCCGGCTGCACGGGCCACGGCCACGTCACTGCTCCGGGCCCCGCGCGGGCCGTGGGGAGCGGCACGCCGAGCTCCCGCTATTGAACAGCCTTGCTCAATCGCCTCCCGGGCCGGGCCAACTTCTTCGGGGAACCGCACGCCGACGTTCGAGCCCCTGGCGGCAGCGCTCGCCAATAGCCCCGGCGGCCGCTGGCGGCAGCGGGCGGAGCGGAGGCGGGCGGGTTTGAAAGGGAGGCGCCGGCTGCCATGTAAGCGCTGGCCGGGAGCGCCGCGGCCGGCAGGGGCTGAGCTGGCAGCGGCCGCCGCTCCGGCCCGTCCCGCCGGGCCGCCCTCGCCCCGGGCATGGGAGCGGAGCGGAGCAGGGTGGCCGGAGCGGAGCTGCCGTGGGGGCGGCCCCCGGGAAGCCCCTAGCCCATGGCCTTCATCATGATGAAGAAGAAGAAGTTCAAGTTCCGCGTGGAGCTGGAACTGGACGAGCTTTCCTCCGTGCCTTTCGTCAACGGCATCCTCTTCTGCAAGGTGCGGCTGCTGGACGGGGGCAGCTTCAGCGGGGAGTCCTCCCGGTAGGTGCCTCCGGGACTCGCCAGCCGGGGCTGCCGGGCTGCCCGCCCCACGCGGGCAGCGCCGGGCGGGCCGCGGCCGCCCCCGTCCGACGGGCTCCGCTCGAGTCCGCGTCCCCCAGAGCAGGGGGAGCACGGCCCCCCCGCAGCCCCTCCGCCCGCTCCTTGGCTCCCACGGCCAGCCGGGGCTCGGCCGGTTCGTGCGGGCGGGCGGGGGCCCGGGGAAAGGAGGGGCGGCTGCGGCCGCGCTGCCCGCCGCTCCCCTCGCCCAAGGGGAAGCTGCTGTGGCACCGGGCAGCCCGGCCGTCTTCTCGTCCCGCCTGCTGTGCCAGCATCAGCGGCGGGAGAACACATGTGGTAGCAGGAACTCCTCGTCTGCGTGGCTGCTCGCTGCCGGGAGTCGTAACGCTGTAAAATAAATATTGAGGCTCCTAAACACGGAGTAACAGAGGAGAGGAATCACTGAGTGATGAGGGTTGTCTCTTGTGCCATAACGCTGGAGCTGCTGAGCGGATGGGGAACAGGAGGGGAGAATTTCTTGTCCCCAAGCCTGTAGTCTGAACTGTTCCCTGTGGGTTGTGAGACCTTATTGTTTAATTACTGAGCACTGGCTTGCTGTGTTTTGTTCTGTGGATATTTACATGGAGATCTAAGTTCCATGGAAAAGTCCTCAGTTTTTCCTCTAAGTGCTCAGATCATGTAATACTGACTTTGTTTATGCTCATTTCTGCAGTGCAAGTGCAAGGCAGATGTCCTTTTTTCCTCTTTATTTTCCTTCAATTGTGCCTCAGCAATGAGCAGTCATGGGTTGTGACAGTGGCTCCCTGATCCACGGGTAGCAATGGGTAAATAGAGGGCCAGTGTATTGTTTTTTTTCCAAGTACCTGGCAGAGGCAGAACCTTGTCAATAGGAAGGGTGTGTGCTGTGGCTGCAGGTCTGGGGAGGAGGAGATTCCCCTCCCATTACACTTGTTCTTGTTGTATCAGTTATTATTTTATTGTAATATTATTACAAAAAGGAATTACTGGAAAATGTATAATAGAATTATGGGAGAAGTCAGAAACAAATCCATGAATATTCAGTTATTGTCTTATTAAAATACTGTTGTTACAGAGCTTTCTAAATTATCTGCTTTTGATTCTATAAATTAAATTAATAAGGGAGAAGGAATAAAACGGAACTTTGGCCTACAACCTCATTATTTAACCATTCCATTATACTAGCATGTATAATTGAAGACAAATCTTTCTTCTGTATGGTTGGAAGTTGTTCAACTCATCAGTGCTCTGATCTCATTTTGTGTCTTTCTTTGACGTTTTTCTTGTGAGCGACTTCATAAGTAATAGATGATGATGATAACAATCCTGATTCAGGCACTAATGTGCCATTACTGTCCTACTCCAGCCCTTATTGCCTTGAAGTCATTTCCACAGGCTGACATACATCTTCTGGACAGGATGTCTATTTCCAAGGACTTGCTTTCAGTAAGCAGATGGTTTTGACACGTTGTGGTGATCTTAGTCTTTTTTGCCTTGCCTATTTATGATGCTAAAATTAAATGCTTGAAAGCCTCCATTCATATCTTTCTGAATGGCTCATTAGAGTAAAATGTGTGTGGTAGGATGCAGTGTGTGTAGAAAAACTGATGTAAAAAATGGTGTTGGAGCTGAAGCTTAGAAATTCTTCCATTTTCTTTTTCTGGGGCTTTTAAGCTTTTTTAAGCTATGGCTTAAAAACTATCAGCAGTGGAACACAGCTGGTATGTCAAGGTCCCTGTGAGTGTAACTCATTCCTGCTGGACTGAGAAGTGTTTGAGTGTGCTGATAGAGAGGTAAAGAATTCTTCTGCAGTGATCCTTCAGTGCCAGTTTAGGGAGTGCCTTTGCTCTTGGCTTAAGAATTAACAGATGAATTTTCAGAGTGGTGATTCAGCAAAGGGCTGAATAAATAAGGAGGAAATTAGGTTTATACCAGAGCGGTAGTATTTCAAAACTTATCAGTTGCAAACTTTCTCATGGCCATAATCTTCCAGTTGCATGCATTTGTTAGTTTCACTGTGAGCTGACAGTTATATCCCTAGACTAGTGATCTTTTTAGCTTTATAAAGATACTCAAAGAATTCTATTGTTTCAGAAAGTTATAGACTAACTCATGAAAAAAAAAAATATAATACAGGGCGCAATTGACTCTGTTTCCTTAATAGCTTTATTTTTGTTACTCACTGAGGTCTAGTAAACTATAATTATTTAGGGAGAAGTTATGAAGTTCTCAAGTTGGTGCCCATACAGACCAAGACCCTGTTGCCTCTTGCCTTTAGAAAGTAAAAAAAGTCCAACCAATAGTCTACAAACCACCCTAACATTATTAGCATTTTATTTCCAAAGCCTGCTCACAGAGAAGAATGTCATAAAAACCCAGGGCAGCAGTTGCCTTGGAATAGGGGCCCATGTGTATGCAGCAAGTTGTCATGAAAGTAGTTTCAAAGTGATTGTCTTGTCAGCCCTCTATGGATCATGCTGTATGAACAATTAAAGTCATGATCCTGCAAGCAATGTGGTACCTTCATCATCCCTTTGATCACTGAAGTGAGATGGAAAGAAGACTGATAAAAGTTCAAGCTACTGAAAAATAGGGTTTTTTCACTTCTCAGATCTTTGCTGAGAAAGAGCTACCTAAGAAATATATTATGGAGATGTGGGCCATGCTACTGGAGGCTTGTCACAGTCCAGTTACTTTTCTGGCTCCCACAGATGTGTGCCTGAAATGTAGAGAAATTCTGTGACCAGGTGAAACCAGTGTGTATAGTACAGTACACAGTGATCTGGCTGGTGTGTAAATAGAAACCACATCACTTTGCAATTTTGTGATTGCATATACTTTTTTAGAACTCCAATTAGAAAGCTTCTGTTTGAAACATCCCTGTGCACATCTGTGAATCCTTACTGCGGGAAAACAAAATTCTGGATTATAACAATAAATGTTTAATTACTGGATAAGAATATCAATTTTTAATGTAATCTGGTAGTGCCAAATAAAATCCTTATCCAAGGACATTGACCAGCCAAGTGGCAGCGGTGTTTAAATTGGTAAAAATGTTTAAGAGTTTCTGCAAGAGCAGGACCTTGGAATTCTGGCAAGAATGAATGTGTTATAAGTTTTGACTCTAAACCAGGGAAAACCTTGAAGGCTGTTGTGGAAAGGGGGAGGCTCAGTTTAGTTGTTTCAGCAAACTACAATCAGCCATACAGTGTAATTCCTGCTCTCTGCTTTTTGGAATTGCTTTCTAGCATGATTTCTGGATCTTTACCATTGTGTTTTAGAATCAAGGATTTTCACCCAGTAGACTGTGGATGTATGCAAAGTTATGCTATCAAACCTCAATTTCATTTAGGAAACTTTCCTAGCTTAAGCCTGGTTTCCTGCGTGGCAAGGCATCTTTCTACCTTTCCCGGGGCCAATGACATGAGATCTCTCTTTGAAATTGGATGCATTAATAGGTACACATGTGCAGATTCCCAGCTACTGTGTATCTATATACTGCCTGGTCATAAAATAGTGTGCACATAATGGCAAATGCACCATGAAAGGACACAAGATTATTTCAGGGCAGAAATTGCACCTATTTATATTTTGAACAGAAATAAATACTATTTTGAGGTACAGACTTGACTAAATTCTAAGCATATTTTTGTGGCCATTCTAATGTAGATATAAATATAGATCAAGTATAGGCTTTCTGCAATTGCACTCATTTTAAAAGGCTGAATCAAAAATTAATAAGTCCTTAGAGCAGATAACTGAGGCTCATAGGCTGTTGCTCAATCAGCAGTAAATGAACAGATGGAATATGAGGAAATCCAAGAAATTCTGGGAATCAGGATCTGATTTCTTGAGGGTGTACTTTCAGTGCTCTACTCTTATCAACTGAGGCTATAGGAGCTGTATGCCTGCTAGTTCAATTTTTAGCTTGGTTTCTAGCTGCACCCCACTCAAGAAAAGGACCTGGTTGGTGTGTTCTTCTGACTGCAGCCTTCAGCTTGTCATATTCTCCTTCCTTTCAGATCTGATTTCCGACAATTTAAACTGCTGATGTTTCTATCCTCTTTCTTTTCCACAACAACATTCTAAAATAAGAAGCTGATTATGATTGCTATATGTGACAGACAGAGATTCAAGGTGGCCAAGAGCTATAAGCTTTTCATCAAATAATTTTATTTTTGAACTGATTTCAGAAATGTGGTGGTTTTTTATGTACCCTCTTGAGTCCTGAGGGGAAGTCTTGGGAGATCATGCATGAATATATTCCTATTCCTAATAGGTACAGGCTAGAGCATGTAATTGCTTGCTATAGAAATTGACTTCTTATCTGCCAGATAAGTACTTCTCACTTCTAGTGATGCAAGGCCACTTCCTTCTCAACTGTCTAAAACCACATCTATTTTTTTGTGACACCAGCAAGTAGGTTTTCTGCCTCACTGGATTCTTCAAGTTGTCTTTTTACCATTCTTTTCCTGATTGCTGCTATTGCATTTTTGAAAGAGAGAAGCCCTCCTGATAGTAACACAGCTTAACTAACTCTGTTTTTAAATTACAGTACTTGTTAGAAAAACATACCTGTCACATGGAATCAGTGTCCCTATCACTCTAATCTTCCTGCATGATGTATGAATCCTGCTGACAGTCTTCAGAGCTGGATAATGCTACTTCTAATAGCTTTTTCGGCTGTAACTGGATTTGCAGCCGGAGAACTTGAAACAAAATAAGTTTTCAAGTATTGTGAGGAGTATTGGCAGTGGGATAAAAGTGCTACCTTGCAGTTTTGTAGTTGCTTTTTTCATATTCTTGAATGTCCACTTAACATTTCCTCAGTTGTGAAGAGACAGCTGGTTAAGCAGCTTTCAGACACTGTCCTCTGTAGGAGGAAAAGGTGAGAAGGAGAACTTCTCTACACAAAGTACAACTTTTCAACATGTAGTTTCTTGGTACTTCTCCTTTCATTAACA